CCTAACGGTCGGATTTGTATTTCATAATGTTTCTTATATGAGAACCTACCTTTTTCTCGTCACCTTCACACTCTTCCTCTGCGCTTGCCTTCTTAAAAAATCATTTTGGAGCTTGAATTCTAACCGTTGTGTTTGAACCTTAGCTTTTCTTGACTTTACTTTACGGAAATATGGGTGCATTCTAAATTTCTTCTTCCTTTGTTCTTCTTTAGGCATCAATTATCATTTACTACATCTAATTTCCTACATTACTGGAATTGAATCCCCGTCATGTCTTCTTCTACCTCTTCTTCTCTCGTCTGAACCTTCCTTTTGATTGATAATTTTCCGAACCTCCAAGCCTCCCCTATAGCCGCCGTTCTGATTTCTTCACACCCTCCTACCGCGGTGACTATCACTGAGGGAGTTTGGGCTACCCTTCCTTCTGACTTAATCCAGTTCGCCAGGCCTCTTCCCTTGACCAATTGGTCCGATACTGACTTAACATACTTTAAGCATTCTTGCGAGCTTCCTCAATGAAAATTCAGCTCCACACAGACGACACTAATTTGATATGTCACTTTTTTAGTCACGATTGGATTGCACACCTTCCACCTTGAACGAGTCTCTTCCTTAAGCTCCCGATAACCTGTAATACGTCGGAAGGCGAGTCGCCATGGAAAATTCGACGCTCAAGTCAGAACTCACCCAAATCTGAATATGTAAGATAATCGTGGAATTGTGTATTGTGTAATATGAATAAACATGTCGTCTACATATATAGGACTTTGGAGTCTCCAACCCGAAGAGAGTTCTTGTTAGGGAAAGGAATCCATAGGGATCCTACTTTTCTAACTTACCACGTCTTTATCGTGACAAGAGTCCTTGGCGTGTGATTTTTTCCTTCTTACTTAGATTTTTCTCCCCTTTACTGTTTTAGCCAGGGGATACATAGGTCGTAGCTCGACCTCTCTGTTATGACCCTTCTGAGGACATCCTAGACTTTGTCTTGAGGTCTACCGACCTCACCTTTAGATCCCTTTTTCTCTCATGCCACATGACCTTGATATACATCGAGGTCGGTTACTTTACCGGGCTCGTGGAGGCCTATACCTCCAGGTCGTAAACTTGGCACCTTAAACCCATGTTCGGACTACTTGGCGAACATCTTTCTTCTTATCTTATGGGAGTTCTCCTAGATCGATTACAACCGAGCTACTCTCTTAGACTGAAATGCCGAACTGTGTTCTGGGTGCTATATCACATAGTACCTACTGTAGTTAAAGCATCACCTACAACAATTAATTAATGCCCCGTTGTGGCCTTTACAGAGGCGATGGGCCACTACTCTTATGGTTTTGATGGACATTGTTACCTATTTGACCTGTGTTTTTCCCTCTTGACGGTTGATATGGGTGTTTCACGTGGTTGTGATTGACATTATTTATTATTTTTTTGAGTTAATTCTCAAAAGAATATAATACCGTCTTGCATGAGTGATAGGCTATAAGATTGCCTTGTCATCGCCCATCGCATTGATAACTATAGTACTTATATGATATTCTTTGGTATATCAAGACTTTCTTTGATATATCTAGACAAACAGTGTTTTTTAATTCTTTTGGGCTGCATCCTCTTTTTTCTTTTAATTTTCTATTTATTTAAATAATGGCAAGGATACTAACCATTCATTCTTTTCAATCGTCTTTCTACTTAACAAATGGCTCTGGATTTTAAGCTTTGAAGCTAGATTTTGGGGCCCAATCCATCTTTAGGAAAATGGATGATATATACAGGTTTGACTCCAATCAACTGATGAACTCTACAGGTATGGCGTCACCCCTGACATCATTGCCGTGAATTCCTTGCTGAGTGCCATGTGCCGTGAGGACAAGCAGACCACCAAGGGCCTCGGTTTCCTTGAGCGGATAAAGTCTAAAATACCCCCAGACGCGGACTCGTATGCCATCCTCCTCGAAGGCTGGGAGAAGGAGGGCGATGTAGCCCAGGCCCGGCAAACCTTCGGCGAGATGGTCATTCGGGTTGGGTGGAGCCGACAGCACGAACTCGCTTACGATGCCTTCCTCAGCACCCTCATCCGCGGGCCCAACACGGATGAGGCCATCAACTTCCTCCGCCTGATTGTGGGTAAGAAATGCCTGCCAGGCCCACGCTTCCTTTCCAATGCACTCGACGTCTTCACGAGCTGTAAATGTAATGACTCAGCCCGTGCCGTCATCTTGTGGGACCTGATGGTTGGGGGTGGGCATGTCCCGAATCTCACAAATTACAACACGATGATCGGCTTGCTTGCGAACAACAGTGATGCTGAAAACGCATTCCGGCTTCTTGATAGCATGGTCTTTCACGGGGCCTTTCCCGATGACTTGACGTACAACATGATCTTTGAGTGCCTGATCAGGAACAAGAAGACACGGGAGGTGGCGAGGTTCTTTACGGAGATGGTCAAGAATGAGAAGGCCCCAACACCAGCAAATCTGGCAGCGGGCATCAGGATTATGTTTGAAGGAGACGATCCGGAGACAGCAGTTGAGATATGGAAATATATGGTGAATAATAACATCAAGCCGCGCGATGATGCGGCAAACGAGGTACTTTTGGGTTTTTGTACCTTGGGGAGGCTGACGGATGTGAGGAGGTTTGTGGATAAAATGATTGCTGAGGGAATTATAATATATGAGGCGACCATGGTGAAGGTGAAGGCGGCTTGCTACGCGGGAAAAAACATGCGCGAGGTGTACGAGCACATCTCGAAGAAGTGGAAATCTGCGTGCGTTTAGGCTCCTTGAGTTTTAGACTAGACTGCGGGCATTTTTTCCTGTGATCTTGGTAATCCTTTTTTCGCAATGCATTTCCCCTTTGGATGTGCATTGAAAATTTTTGACATGCTCTTCATTCTATATTTTGCTGATGTGCTTGTTCGGGTTGTCTCGTCTATCTATATATTATTATATTATAATTTTATTAATAACTTTTTTCTCTTAGTGCTAATTGAGCTAAAATTCTCAAGTTTCTAAGAGAAGATTGTTGGTGAAAGAATAAAGGGGTGGAGGAAAAGGAGCTGGGATGGTTCCTTTAATCTCAGTCTGTTTCACAATCATTCCTTCATATTCTCTTTCTGTTGCTTTGCTTTCTTAAAAAAAA